TATATATATATATATATATTTTTTTTTTTTGGTGTGTGGTAACTATAATTTACAAACAAACTTTTTTTGGGTAAAAAGAAACAAAGAAAAGTTATTGAACTATAAAAATAACAGTACCTCTGAACCAGTCCCAGGAAATCTTTTACTGTAGCATCTCTTATATATGGACCGAGCCTCCTTCACGTGGCCTAACTCTATTTCCATTGCGATATAACCTTGCCAGGCTTCCAACATTGAACCACTGAAAAGCGAACGACAAGATAGAAAACTTACTTTAAAAAAAATAACAAATAAAAAGGTGAAGAGAAATGGATGAAGTTTGCAAGTTAACGTTTCGTGATCAGCATACAAGAGAATTAAACAAACCAGATCTTAAGCAAACTCTCCCAAACTCCACGAGCTGGCACCAAATCTTTTCCTAACCTTAGCTCCAAACGTGCCCAGTAAGCATGCAATCGCACAAATGCTTCCGTGTTCTTCAAGTGTGGTGAGAGGTAATCCGATGCATTCTGAAAGTTATGAATACATGTATCACTCCAAATTATGAGCAGGTCCTGATAAAGAATATATGTACAATTCCAACAAGGACACAGCCATAATTATAAGGATTGCCTCAAATTATAACCAGTTTAATCTTCAAAATACCAGATTGAAATCTTTAAAAATGTTTTTTTTTTCCTTCCAACTCCTTTATCTAAAAATTGAAAGAATTTTCCAACTCCTTTCTACTTAAGTCCGCCCTTCCCAGCCTACTGAGAAGGACCCCGGGCTAAGAATACTGACTATCCACAACGTCTTGTGGCAAGCCGAACTCCTAAATACTTCTCTCTATAATTTGTTAATAAAAATAGTGAATAAGATCTGTTAGATTAACGATATGGTAGAAATAACCATGCAGAGAGCACTTTGATTCTAACTTTAAAATAGCGTCAATAACTAACAAGGAATACAAAAAATCTACCTAGAAGCTTTAAATTTAATTTTACTAGGTGTAAAAAGGGAAATAAAATAAAATAAAATGAATAAACCTATAAAATAAAACATGGGACAAACCTGAAATGTTTCCCTTATTAAAGAATAATGCAAGACATTCTCATCTTCATTACTGATGATTCTTCTCCGCAGGCCATCTACTCGAGTTAGGAACAAATCCAGGTACTAACAAAATAGGTACAGAAAATGAGCAAATTGAATCGAACTAGCACAAGAAAATAGAGGAATATACTTTTTTGTAAAGGTATATATATATATATATATAT